AGGAAAAGGACTGTTCCAATGGAAGGTGATGCCATTCGGGCTGCACTCAGCGTCGGCAACGTTCCAAAGGGCGCTCGATCAGGTCATAGGGCCTGAGATGATGCCGCACGCCTTTGCGTATCAAGACGATATTATCGTCATCGGACGGACGCTGGAGGAGCATAAAAGAAACCTGAGGGAAGTGTTCCGAAGACTGAGAGCAGCGAACCTAAAAGTAAACGTGGAGAAGTGCAAGTTCTTCAGAAAGGAGCTGCAGTACTTGGGACATCGCATCACCGACCAAGGAATTGGAACAGATCCGGAGAAGGTGGCGGCGATAGCGTTGCTGGAACCTCCAGCCAACGTCAAGGAGCTGAGGCAATACCTGGGAGTGGCATCATGGTACCGACGTTTTGTACCCGACTTCGCCACACTAGTCCAGCCACTAAATGCCCTACTCCGGAAGAAAGTAAAATGGGAGTGGACCGCCGACCACCAGAAGGCATTCGAGGCAGTCAAGGCCAGGCTGGTCGCAGATCCAATACTGGCATGCCCAGACTTCACAAAGACATTCATCCTGCAGACAGACGCCAGCGACTACGGACTTGGCGCCATACTCACTCAGCATTCAGATCAAGGCGAGAGAGTAATTTCATATTCAAGTCGCTCCCTAAATGGAGCGGAAAGGAATTACTCCGCAACTGAAAAAGAATGCCTGGCGATCGTATGGGCCATAAGGAAGTTGCGACCTTACTTAGAGGGATACCATTTCAAAGTAATAACGGATCACATGGCACTAAAATGGCTCAACAGTATCGAGAGCCCGTCAGGAAGGATTGCGAGATGGGCGCTGGAACTCCAGCAGTACGATTTTGAGATATCCTACCGCAAAGGCCAACTTAATGTCGTGGCGGACGCCCTGTCAAGACAGCCATTGCCAGCGGAATGCCGCCGCATGAAGACAAAGAAGGCAGACCCGAAGACAGCGGAACAGGGGCGAGATTGGATAGCAGAGATGAAGAGTAAGGTAGAGCAAAACCCGCAGAAATACCCGGATTATATGCTGGAAGGCGATAAGATGTATCGCCACATACCCCACAGGGCGGGGAACGAGGACGTGGTCGCGTGGAAGCTATGCATACCCAGAGGATCAAGGCAGAGGGTAATAGCGGAAAACCACGACGCACCAACAGCCGGTCACTTAGGCAGCAGGAAGACGATCGCAAGAGTGGCTGCGAGGTACCACTGGCCGGGCATGCACCGGGACATCAGAGCCTACGTACGCAGCTGTGAGAGCTGCATGAAGTACAAGCCGAATCAGCTGCAGGCTGCAGGCAAGATGTTGACGCAGATTCCCGAGGAGCCGTGGGCGACAGTGTGTGCCGATTTCGTCGGACCACTGCCGCGGTCAAAACCCGGCAATGCTATGCTGCTCGTGCTGGTGGACCGATTCTCGAAGTGGACCGAGTTGGTGCCGATGCGGAAGGCGACCACGGAATCTCTACAGAAGGCAATAAGAGAGAGGATCGTCTCACGGTACGGCGTCCCTAAGGTGTTAATCACGGACAACGGGGTACAATTCACAAGCAGGGCGTTTAAAAAATTTCTGGAAGAATTGGGGGTGCGACACCAATTCACTGCACCATACACGCCGCAGGAAAATCCGACAGAAAGAGCAAACAGGACGGTTAAGACGATGATCGCCCAGTTCGCGGGGGCCGACCAGAGGACCTGGGACGACAAATGGCCGGAACTACAGCTGGCAGTGAATACCAGTGTGGCGGAGTCCACCGGGTACTCGCCAGCGTTCATCACCCAGGGTCGAGAACCTAGGCTGCCGAAAGCTCTCTTCGACGAGCACACAATTGGAACCGGAAAAGCGACACAAACACCGAAGGAAAATGCACAAAAACTGTCGGAAATTTTCGAACTCGTCAGGCGCAATATGGAGAAGGCAGCACAAGATCAGGCAAGGCATTACAACCTGCGAAGGAGACCGTGGACGCCGAGGATTGGTGATACGGTCTGGGCAAAGGAGCACCACCTGTCCAAAGCAGTGGAAGGCTTCGCGGCGAAATTGGCCCCCAGATATGACGGGCCATTCACAATCACTAATTTTATTTCCCCGGTAATTTGTAATTTACGGCACAGCCAGAATGGCAAGGAAAAGAGAGCTCACATTAGCGAGCTGAAGCCGAGCACAACCGAGGGGGAAAAATAGAGGTGACCGTCATACTGGGGGCGCACTGTACGTGTGTTTCGCGAGAAAGGGAGAGGACGATACGGAGTATCGAAGGAAATGGCCACCCACACACACGTACACGTTTGGAGCGCGAGCGTTTGGAGCGCGAGACGCGGGTCAGAGGAGGGTACACGATTGGAGCGCGAAAGCGGGTTAGAGGAGGGTATATACACAAGCCGAAAAAAAGGGAAAAAAAAACGGCCGGTGTTCAGCAGCAGCAGCAGGAGACTTCAGCAGGAGCAGCAGCGACATGAGGATCGGCGGCAGCAACAACAAACGGCAACAGCAGCAGCACAACTACAGCAGCGGCAACAATTCAGGCCGAGGCGGAAGGCCGCGGCCAGCGGAACAGCCAGGGGCGAAGTGGGGGCTCCGGCGCTTGTCGTCGGTTCTCCAGCTACTGGCGTCCCCGCTGGTGCCGTGGTCCCCGTCGCCGGCCTGGCATGCGGTGGAAATGGAGCTCAACTGCTCAAGGGAGAAGCCTGCCGGGACGCGCTGGGCCAGGGTTGGCGCCCCGGCGCATGAAGAGGGAGCATCGACTGGCAGCCTGGACGTGCTGGAAGAAAAGGACAAAGGGTAAGCCGAGGAGCGGCCAAATATTTCACAAACTTACCTGGAAGCAAGCCCGGGCGTCCAGTCCAAAGGGGCTGCTGGTGTAGAAGGGGCAGTGGAGGGGAAAAGGGGCCAAGAGAGGGCCTGCCGGGACGCGCTGCATCATGTTGGGCGCCCCGGCACATAGTCATCGGGGAGGCGCTCGCAGCTCAACCCGGCAAAGATGCATGCTGCAAGAAGAGGACGGAAATGGTGAGAAATGAGGAAAAAAAACGAAATAACCTCAAGTACTTACCAAAACAAAACCACGAGGCCAGCGGAAATTGGGAATGGGGTCGCCACGATAACGGCGGTCGATCGATAGTGCGATCGATGGGAGCTAAAAAATACTGGAAACATCGCTGGCCGGTCACACTGAATATGACGGCACCCTGAGAAGTGGCAACGCCACGATCGATAGACGAGTTATCGATTGTGCGCGGGGAAATTCTGCGCGGGAGACTTTTCAAATTTGAAACGAGGATCGGAAGGAGTCGCGCGCTGGGAGTTTTCGACAGCCAAGATGCCCTGGTCAAGAAGCCCAACGACGGGAAGTCTACATAAGCTGAGACTTAGGTGCTGAGGTTGGAGGAGCTCTCAGCCGTGGCAGGAGGAGGTCGACGAGGAGTGGCAGCGGCCACAAGGATCAAGGAAGGATCGGTGTGCGCGCAAGGAGCCATGGAGGTCAAGACGCCGCAGTCAAGATGCCTTACTAAGCTGAGACTGTCCGGCTGAGATCCAGAGGGCCCTTGGCCGCACTCAGGAGTGGAGGTCGACGTGGGAAGGATGCAAATTGAAAACGTTTCCCCAGGACATTCCGGAGCCCGAAGCTTTTAAAAGTTTCCGAAGGAAGGGGGAGATGTAAGGGTTTGTAAAACGCCTTACAAGTTTGAGTGCAGGAGAGCCGCATAGCAACAGCGGGATGCGCGGCATGCAGAGGAAAAAGGGAAATAGCGGTGCAAAGGACTTTGGACTCGATGCTGCGGTGAGTCTGCAGACTTTGGACCCAATAACGGTGAGTCTGCGGACTTCGGACCCGCGCAAAGAGGAGAGACCGTGAACTAACGGTACCAGTCTGGACTTTGTACCCGTTATAACGGTGAAGTTCTGGACTTTGTACCCGTTATAACGGTGAAGTTGGCGGACTTTGGACCAGCACAAAGAGGAGAGACCGTGAACTAACGGGACTTGTGCTGCCCTTTGGACCCGATCACGCCACTTGTCCTGCACTTTGGACCCGATCACGCCACCGAGGGAGGGAAATAACGGGACCCGGGTGGCATATAAAAAGGAGGACGCGTGCAGGAAGCTAGACAGTCAAGTGAAAGTCGTGCAAGTGACCGTATCAACGCGAGGAGTTAGAAAGGAACCGCCTCGGAGGACGGTCGTGTCCAAGACCCGCCAAGACAGTCAAGTGAAGTCGTGCAGCGAGATCGTACCAACGCGAGTGAAACCCCAAGTAAAACACCAAGTGCCAAATAATCCGGAATCAAGATCGCCGAGTCAAGAAGCCCAACGACGGTCACGTCTACATAAGCTGAGACTGCCAAGCTGAGATCCCGAGGGTACAAGGTAAGTTGTAGGGTGCGTCTACGAGTCTCGAAATCGACGAAGTTGGTGGAGTCTTGGCAGTGGATGTTGTGCGAAAGGTACCCAGCGTCGGTACCCCATGAAAGATTGAGGACCTGCTGAGGGCCAGGCCGACGAAGATCCAGCGGAGTTGTGCGAAAGGTACCCGGCGTCGGTTGCTCATGAGAGATTGAGAACCTGCTGAGGGCCAGGCCGACGAAGTCCCGACCGAACTCCGGGGTGGAGCGAAGAGTGGTGACTGCAGGCATCACTGCTTAGCCCCGCTAGGGAGGTTCTGCCTAACATCCTCCAAGGTTGTGAGAGGCTCGTAGCGTGCCTAGTACGCGACCGGTGCCCGAAAGACTCGGCAAGGCAGAGGACGCACGACAGGCGTGCCGCCGTAGAGTCGACGCGGGAGCCATTACCGGCGTCAACGAGGGAGATCGAGTCATCAGACAGCAGAACCACAAATCAAATATCGAGCTACAAATCTACGTACAATAAACCCAACAAGTATTCTTAAATCTAACCTAACTCTGTGTTATTCTTTGGTCTCGGGGTTACGCATCAATACATTTGGTGGGGCGAACACACAAACTCTTCTGAGCTAGCCGCACGTTCTCGTAGCGAGCGAAGACACAAAAGCAGTTCGTTACACTGTTTACTAAACGAGAAACGGGTATATAAATAAGCTTCTAAAGAAGCTTACTAGCTCGAAGACTATTGTTTTTACAAAATAACAGTATTTACGATATTTGTATTAAAAACTTACGATTCGTTGCTGTATCCATTCATGATGAGAGTATATTAAATATCCTCCCATGTCTGGAGTTAATTGGCTGATATGAATATAATCATGCAAGTCAGAAACAGTCGAACAAACCACAAGTCGAAACCTGTATTCATCTCTTGAAAACTTATTGCTCACTTCTGATAAAGCCTTTTGAAACAATCCGGATGGGCGAATTACATAGACAACATGAATAATTCCCGGAAAATACTCCTTTACGAAAAAAAGTATTTGTTATTTCTGTGTTATAAAGAAGTTATAATATAATTACCGATATTCTTTGTAAAACAGTTCTTACGGAGCTCCACCTGTCTTTTCGGCGATCCACAATCAAATTAAATCCTAGGTCAGCCTCCTGTAATCTAAAACAGAAAACTTACTGTATTTAAAACAAAAATTGTGTAGCATTTTTTTCCTATCGTTTGCACAATACTGACAATGTCAACTATTAGGTGTACTACACAATACTTCTCGACTTTATGTCGATTCTTCCATTTATTTTATAATTTTGTTCATGGCAGCTAAATAAGTAGTCTGATCCAAATATATGATAAAACCTTTAAGCTATATTTTATGTTTTATTTAGTTAGTTTTATTTTATTTTGTTAAAAGTTTCAACTTCTCAAAAATAAAGCTTGTATTTAAAAAAAAAACTATGTAAACTGATTTCCCATTAGCTTCTTATAGGTTTATTTTATATTGTACTTACGAAGTCACTGATGCTAGGTACGAAACAAGTTTTTGGTAGTCTGCCTCTTCTATCGAACAGAAATTATTGTTATCTGGAAAAATTATTAAGGGACAACCATCTGCAGAGCGACCACCAGTAATGATGGCGTACTGTGGGTGCAGCAAATCAGCTACACTGGCTATATTAAGGACCTCGTTATTTGTTGTGTCAGCCATCTGCAATATACCAATAGGTTTCAAAAGAAAATTTAAATTGTCCGTGTTTAGCGTCGTTCTGAGAGTATTTTCAGCGATAGAAAGAGAGTTTTTCGATGGCGTGGCATGGGTAGAATGCTGCCGGTATCCTACACCAGTTGAATGAACTGGCGAGTTCGTGGGAGACTGGAAAATTTCTGTTTGAGTGGAAGTGACACTGCCGGCCAAAATCTGTGAGTCGATCATGTGCTCGTTGAATTTTGTTCGCTCCCGGTAAATATTTTGGTTTTCTGTCACTGCCATCATCAACTGGGACTCGTTTAGTGAGTTTCCAGCAATTTCTGTGCCATGAAAAGTAAAGAAAGAAAGAAAAATATTTTTTTATTTGCACAAAGGGTTGGTAAATTTTCACAATATATGGGTCACCTTAACATGCTCATTTCCAAATTCGGCTCCAACACATAAAAATATCCAAACGAATTACATTGAACCAAATATTTTACTGACATGGAATATCCCTAAAGCATTTTTGAATCAAAATTGTAATAATAAAGAAATTTCTTTAGTTGTTCAGTTCAATTAGACAAATTTATTCTTTCAAATACAATGGCAGACTATACTCAAACAGTTTTTGTTGTAATAATGTAACAAAACTAGAACCACTAGTAGACATTTAAACAAATGAAATTATAGAAGCACATACGAGGTATGTTCAAAAAGTATCGCGAATTTTGAGTTTTTTGACTTCCCTTGAATGGAGAAAAAACTTTCATAAGAATGGGACAACTATATTATGTAGCTGCTATAGATCGAAAAATCTATATTGAAATAACGGAAATTAATGAACAAAAGTAAGTATGATTGGCTCCAATCTTTTTAGACCAATCTGCTGGGACTTCATAGTTATAAAAGCATTTATTTTTCCGGCGTAGTAATATTATAAAATTTGGGCTAAACAGATAAAATATCTTACGTGTAAAATTGAGTTTAATGTTTGAACGGTCATTTTATTTCGCAGCTGAGTTTTTACATTGTTTATTTGGCTGAACACTCAACCTCTGCGTTCGACAATGGTAACGATTAAAGGCTTAGCGCACAAGATGCTAGTGTAAGATCCTACTGCATCCACGTAGTTATACACTTCGGCCCAAAAACTTTTGGTACCCATTAAACTGGACCATTTCATAAGATAGACGTTTTTGTATGGGAACAGGATCTCTTCAATATTATCCGATTCTAGCTTGAAGTGCTCAAGGATGTGCAAAATTTCAGCCTTCTTTGGACATAATATTTTGTTGACGGAAAACAAATCAATTTGATGATATACATATTTCAAAATTGTCTGGCAATCTAAAAAAGAATTTTAAACTTAACTGCAAAACATAAAAATTACTCTATATGAATACCTCTGCTTGAGCTCATTAATTAATGTTATTATAAAATTAACACATTTTAAACGAATTTCTGCCTCAATATCGTTCGAGATGTTTTCATTATGTTCGTTGAGCTTTGTCTCGAATGCATATCTCAAATAGCAATCGTGCTTTACCAAATGTTCTAAATCGCTTTTAAAAATATGTAACAATACTAACATTTGCGGGAATTATTTTGCTTTTTTATGAATTTATTGCAAATGTAATATTATATCATTAAAAAATTTGCCTGAGTCTCCAGTGCTGGAATAGTGAAACACCCAGATGGTTATGGTAAACTGGTAAAAATCGATAAAAGATCTTTTGGCATATCGATGTTTCATAACCATTCCAATGCAAAGATACTGTACGTTTTTAAAGTATGACATTGTAAAACATAAAAATACAAGAAGGTACCAGATATTTTTAAAAAGCTGAAATTCCGTCAGTTTTGCTTTGAAAATAGCTATAATTCCCGCTATCCGTTAGTTTTCAATTTATCCCGTATTTTCTTTTTGAAAACCGCCAGATCTAGCGGGGAAATGGCTAAATTTTCAATGTGGTGCGGAAGTGGACTGGGCAAGATATTTTGATGCATTGCATCAGCCTTGTATACAACACTGCCGGACGCAATATCGACGTGCGCCAAATAAAGCTCACCGACTCAAATTTCCCGTTGGCTTGGTCCCTGATGCTAAAGTGTTGGGACAACCCGCGCCTGGTTTTCGCTCATCACATGAGTGTTATTTTTTCGGCGCCGAAATTGCGTCATCGCAAGCCGCTTTTAAGCGCGTCAAGGCCTTAGAAGGAGAGGCATATCATTGGCTGCCATATCACGCAGCTTCCAGGCTCCCAAAGGAAGCACTCAACGCATGGGAGTATCATCAAGGTAATACGCCTATCGTCCCGTCCTATGCCGACTTGCAGTTTTTTCTGAATGATCGGCTGGTGGTCATGGAGGCGGTCGTAAACCGAAGCTCGTCGAACGACATCTGTACCGAGTTTGAGTGCACAACGTGCGCGACGAGTCAGGACGCCCGGGCTTAAGGTGTCATCATTGCAACGGCGGTCACATTCCTGTCCGATGCTTCTAGCTATGGAGGTATGGAGGCGCAATGAGATTGTGGGCAGAGCGAAGCTGTGCACTTTCCAAGTGTAGCTCCACCCGCCATGGCACCGCAGGTGCCCTCTGCCCAGTCGTCGTCACTCCAGTCGCGATCTTCGATGGCTGAAAGTGGTGATCGGTCTCAACGGGAAGACGGCTCTGAGTATCGATACTATACCTCCCCATCGCCCTCTAATCGAGTGGGCAATATACTCTTGGCTACAGCACGCATCATGTTCAGAATCCAGTCAATGGCCTCCAACCTGTCATCACGGCGCTCATGGACCGGGGCTCCAAGGCGACTATCCGAGCTTGTTGTGCAGTCTCTTTAATTGTCGGAGGCGGCCAAAGGGGTTGGGTCCATCGCTCCTGCCCTGCACAAGCTTCTCGCCGCAGCGATGGTCCCACATTCAAGGACTTCCGCTAGCGGATCCGCTGTATTATCTTTCGAAGAGGACTGACCTCATCTTGGGAGTGGGCCTTATCGCGTAGATCATGCTGTCCGTTACGCGAATAGGAAGTCCTACGTAGCCAATTGCTCAACAGACTCAACTTCGATGGATTCTCTCAGGTCAAGCCGCCGGCTCGCCTAGCTGCACCCAGATCCGTTGCCATCATGAAGTCTCCAAAGCGGAGTTGCTCCTGAAGAGCTTTTTCGACATGGAGGCGGTACCAGAGCGGACGGCTCGCACAGATCGGTGGTGCGAAGCGTTCTTTCAAAGAACGCATTCTCGACGTCCCGATGGACGCTACGTGGTGTGTCTCCTTTTCAAGAAGTATCTGGACTAAAAGAGCGTGTTGGGACGATCTTACCTAGGAGCTTTCAACCAGTTCATTCAGCTGAAGCGGCGAAGAAGACAATACGCTGAGGAAATTGTGTACTTCACTTTGGGATAAATCGCTACCGCGGAAGGATCCGGCGCAGATTATGTGTACGCACTCCGGCCGGAATACATCATGCGTCTTGTGTGCTAGAAGGTAGACGGTCCTGTCACGAAGCAGAGAATAGTGTTCGACGCATCCGCGAAGACGAGGAACGGAAGATCCCTCAATGATGTTATATTCACGAGTCGAGGTTTTAAAGAACGAGATATATGGAGACGATATACTAACCGGAGGTCACACTATAGAGGATGCGGAAGAGAGGCGGGTGCAGGTTCGTAGGAGCTATAAAATCCGGCCGGAAGGAACTGCGCAAACGGTCGAGTAACGATCCGCGGTTGCTAGGTTCTATACCGCAGGAGCATCATTGCAGCCAGACATCTTTAATTTGGGATACAAGAAATCCGGCAAAGGCGTTGGGAATGTACTGGCTTCCAGGCTTTGATTGTTTCAAATTCAAAATGAATTTTGACTTTCCAGACTGCACGACAAAGGGGACCTTGATGGCCGCTATGACGCGTCTGTTCGATCCGTTAGGTCATCATAATAGGGAAGTTTATCCTAAAGGACCTGACTTTGACCAACCTGGGAAGAAATATTCTCTTGGACGGACGCCACCATCGTCTTGCACACGCTGAATGACAGATTCCCATCTCGATCTTGCCACCTGAGCCAGCGCTCGAAGCGAATGCGGATAAACTCCGGATTCACCACGTCTCTCCAGCCCTTGCATTTATCATTCGATTTTCTACGTATATTCGAGCCCTAGGAGTGGGCGCCTACTTAAGGAGTTTTGTGTACAACGCTTTGCACAAGCGGAGTCGACGGGCCGGAGCCTTGACAATACCGGAGCTCGACGATGTAAAGTTTTGCATCGTACGGATGGTCCAGAAGGAGTCGTTCGCGGCGGACTTTCGACCCGAAAGACACTCAAAGCCGCTTTCTTCCCAGAGCAAACTGTTGCAACTGTTGCCTTTTCTGGTGGGGGATAACTTACGGGTAAGAGGTTCTCTGCCTTGCCGCCGGACAGGCGCCACCATATAATTTTGCCCAGTTCCCATAATTTCACCGATCTTGTTATTAATCATTCTCACCTAGTTAAGCTCCACGGAGGTGCGCAGCTGACCTTAGTTTTGGGTTATTACCGGAAAGCGATCCGAGCAACGAGTGATACAGAAATGCGTTCGCGGGTTTTGCGCCAACCCAATCATCTCGTCGCAGCTCATGGGAGGCCTGCCTCTTCGCCGGGTGAACCCGCCCCACAGGCCTTCCGTAACGACAGGAGCCGAGGCTAGAGCGGCATGGATTCGGTGGCCGAGCACCTACAAAGGCTACATTGCAGTTTTCATCTGTCTCGCAACGAAAGAAGTTTATCTGGAGCTGGTAACCGGGCTCACCACGGAGCACTTCCTGCTGGCATTGGGCATGTTCACGAACCTCGAGGGATGGTTCAGCTTCTTTATACCGATATTAGCCCCAACTTCGTGGGAGCAGACCATCAGCTTAAAGGTTTAGTGAAGCAGTTCCGCGCTAACTATGAGAAGCTTCTCGCTCCGAAGTGGTCCCAGCTGCAAGTCACTTGGAATTATAGTCCTCCGCAGTCGCCTAACTGAGGTGGGCCTTGGGAGGTCAATGGCAAATCGGTCAAAGATCATCTTAAGGGTGTGATCACGAATCGGAAGCTGACCTACGAGGGGATGACCACGGTGCTAGTCAGCATAAAAGCGAGCCTTTAACTCAAAGCCGCTGTGCCCGCTCACGGCGGACGTGGATGACTTGGATGGGTTCACTCCGGCCCATTTCTTAATAGCCGATTTCATGTTTGCACACCCGGAATACCGACCAGCCTCTTCCAAGTTCAGGGAGCAGTTCATGTTTAGGGATTGTAGTAGGGATTAGCTAAGCCAAAGTCAGTCTGAACACAGCACTGCATCGCGACGCT